GCCGTTGCCATGGTTACGGGGTCTGTGCCGTTGGAGCAGGGAGGGGGAGGCACAGCCCCCATGGTGAGGGCGTTTTGTCCTTGCATCCTTTCACTGAAGGTATTCAAGGGCTCACAAGCACCCCGATACCTTAAATAAAATAGTATTTATTTATTTATTTATTTAAATCACAAGTTCTGATAAGTCCTGATACCTTAAATAAAATAATATTTCTATATATAAAAATATATTTATTTGTATCACAAGCTTACAAGCGCCCTGATACCTTAAATAAAATTATATATATTTATTTATAAATACCGTAAATAAAACCTGGGAATCAATCCCAGCCTTCTCCTCAGCCACTTCAGTCCTGTTGGGCAGTGTACAGAAATTTTCATTTTGTCTGAACTCAGGCAATGCAGAGCCAAGATAAGGAAAAAAAATCTCACTTTCCCAGAGGATTTTTTTCCCAGCTTGTCTCTAAAACAGCTCCAGGTTTGCCCACACGAGTCACAGCAGTGGCACGATGGGAGGTTATGTGGGAATTCTGACAGGCAGACAAACCTTCCTGAGGCCAAAGGTGCTCTCATTTCTCATGTCAGCCATGACCAAGAACAGACTGAAGGAATGCAGACATTCCCTATTCCTGCCTGGCTTCTACTTACCCAGAGACTTTTCATGGAGTAAGGAATACCTGGAGGAAGGATCCCCACACCCCATTCCCAGCCGTCCCCAGGTTACAAACAGGGAAGAAGAGAGAAGCACAGAGCACCTCGTGAGAGCAGCTGAAGACACACACCCTGAGGAGGTGCCAGGAGGGATTTGAAGTGGGAATGGAACGTGGAATATTGAAATCCCGGCTTTCCTGCGAGTCAAAGTTACCTCACTGCTCAGCTCAGTTTTCCACTCCCTGTGGTATTTTTGCACGCTATCGTTTCTCCATCCCTGTTAATTCCTCCAGCTCTGGAAAAGGCCCCACAGTTCAATGTCTGTGAGGAATTAGAACAATCCCAGTCTGGGCTGCACACCCACCATAAGCTGGGAAGTGCCTGGGGTGGAAGGGACAGAGCTTCCCCACCAGGGACACCCCACGCTGGGGGCATCTGCACTGACCTGGTGGCACAAGAAAACACCTTCCCTGGTACTCTGGGCCTTTCCAAGGTGTTTTCCCTTCCCTCGGTAGCAGGAAGGACCCTTCCAAGTATTTCAGTACTAAAAATATCTAAATAATCTCAAATTTGCTCTGGAAATGTGCTACAGACTTTCATTGTCTGTGTCACACAGGACACACCGTCTGTGTCCAACATTATTTATTTTGTAGCTTGTGTTATTTTCACAAGTTATTTTATAACTGTTTCTTAAAAAAAGTGCATTGCACTCTCCAGCAACGATGATGGAGAGAGAATGCTCTGGGTCTGAGTGTCCTCAGTGTTTTCATCAGCCCCACACAAACCCTTTTCTGTAGCTCAGAGGGGTTTTTTCTGCCAGGTTTAGAGGAAAAAAAAGCAATTTCTTTCCCTTCGAAGTGAGGAACTCCTCAGCTTTCTCAGGGCAGAGCCCTGGGGGGAACACCCCGAGCAGAGCACTGGGAGCAGCCCCCAAACCCACCCTGGCGGGCTCTGTCCCTGCACCCCCGTGCCTCCTGTGCCAGGGCAGCATTCCCAGTCCCAGCTCTGCAGCACAGCCTCTGTCCAGGGGGCAGAGCCCAGGAGAGAGCAACCCCTTCCCTCGCAGCCTCAGCACAGAAACCAGAGAAATCCCTGGAAAAGCCCAGCCAGGACTCACCATTTCTGTTCCTTCCAGCTGCCCCAGGCCCGGCCCGGCCTCCTCCTCTTCCTCGCTCCACAGACGAGCTGGTGCCCGAGGCACTGTGCCACCACCCCCGGGCCCCTCACCCAGACAGAGAGCCCCCAAAATCCCCCTCACCCAGACACAGAGCCCCCAAAATCCCCCTCACCCAGACACAGAGCCCCAAACCCCCTCACAGAGACACAGAGCCCCCAAACCCCCTCACAGAGACACAGAGCCCCCAAACCCCCTCACACAGACGCAGAGCCCCCAAAATCCCCCTCACCCAGACACAGAGCCTCCAAAATCCCCCTCACACAGACATAGAGCCCCCCAAATCTCCCTCACCCAGACACAGAGCTTCCAAAATCCCCCTCACACAGACAGAGAGCCCCCAAACCCCTCACACAGACACAGAGCCCCCAAACCCCCTCACAGAGACACAGAGCCCCCAAACCCCCTCACACAGACACAGAGCCCCCAAAATCCCCCTCACACAGACACAGAGCCTCCAAAATCCCCCTCACACAGACACAGAGCCTCCAAAATCCCCCTCACACAGACAGAGAGCCCCAAAACGCCCTCACACAGACACAGAGCCCCCAAAATCCTCACACAGACACAGAGCCCCTAAACCCCTCACACAGACACAGAGCCCCCAAAACCCTCACACAGACACAGAGCCCCTAAACCCCTCACACAGACACAGAGCCCCCAAAATCCTCACACAGACACAGAGCCCCCCAACCCCCCCC